GTTTTCCCCGCGGTTTCCAGGCAGAGTGGAAAGTTATACCTGATAATATCGATCCGGCTAAGGCTCGCCGTGGCCCCTGGGTTCGCGGCTCTGCCACTGAAACCGCTGCGCAGCGGTTCCTCAGGCACCCGCTCACCCTCGTCACCGCCTGCTACCGCTGCCTTCAGCTGCCTGGCGTCTGCAGGGGGCCTGCTCCATGATCTCCCAGAAAATATGCTACTTGCCCTTTTTCTCTAGGAACAATGAGATTGCTAATTTGCAACAGTAGTCTTTGGGTCAGTTCCATAAAACAGACTTTACGTATAAGCTTATAATACTAGAGCAGTTATTTGAGCCAGTATGTATTTTACAGTGCTCTTTCACAAATGAGGAAAAACAACCCAAAACGAAAGTTCTCTTTGCTAACTTTAAGTTGTGCTTTTTCTCTGTTAAATTAGCAGTGTATTTAATTTATGTGTGTTTCAAATACATTATCTCTAGACATGTATTGTGGAACTGACCTGTGGTTTGAATTTAACAGGGAATAGCCGAAATAAACTGTGCTAAGTTAATGAGATAAAAATGTGAGGGAAGAATTCTACAACCAGTATTTTTTATGAGGTAGAAAAGTACAGACACATTACATCTGGTATATCCAGATGTATTGGTATTACATCTGGTATACTCAGACTGAACAAGTTAGGTATCCCAAGTCATTTTAATATTATTTAGCTGTACTTGGAGAAGTAAATTGAAGAGAGAATTGTATATTGAGCTCTGCTAAACTTTGTATACGGATTTCCTAACTTTCTACAGATAGGCTGTAAAACATTTTTTAATAAAGTTTTTTGTATTAGAATTTTATATTTCCCCGATTTTGTAGATTTTGCAAATTCGGGTTTTTTTCAGGGTACATAACGCATTTGTTTTAAAACTAGAGAATATAGATCTGCTTAAAAACGTAATGAGAAAATAGCACAAACTTGTAGAAATACTCTAATTGCTGACTACTTGTTTTTACACTGTTTTTGTTTAGGAATTATGATGATAATGTTGTATAAAAAACATACATACTTGCCCTGAGAAGTGTAAGTTTCTCTGAAGAAAAAAAAGTTGGGTATTAGTTGGGTTTTTTAATTCTTCTTGCTGAGACCAGTTTTGTATATTTGCCCTTCAGTTCCATGAATTTGCCAAGACTTGTGCTAAAATCCTATGAAGCTTGGAATATTTATGCTGACTCCTGGAGCTCCTATCCAATCTGAATTAATGACTGAATCAATAATACTGATTTGCACTTTTCTTTGTCAATGCAAGTTTTTCTTGTGTAATATGCCTTATGTTACAGCTGGCATCTGGTTTGTTTCTCTGGTGTGTGATGGCTGGATCGTATGTGGGAAAACTGATTTTAGAACTAGCCATTAAACTTCCTCAGGTTTCATTCTTTTTAGCAACCCCCCCCATCACTGTAGAAGTGTTTCTAGCTGTTACAATGTTTCTTGACCAAATGACAGATCTGTTTCTGTGCACAGAGGATGCCAGTGTTTTTTAAAACAAAATATGTTGCATCCTGTTATGGAGTAGTACAAAATTTACATTTCATGGGAACATGGTTGTGAATGCCTGCCAGATGCATTTATTCAATGTGCATGTGGTTGCTCCCAAAGCTTTTAAGCCATATAAACTAAAGGAGAAGACAAGTTCCAGTGTGCTGTATCAAAATAAAAAAGCTGATTGTCTAACAGATCAGGAGATTTGTTAACATGTAGAGCATTGGTGCTTGACAGTTGCTGCTCCACATTGTGGTTTAGGTTCTTTACAGGTTAGCACTGCAGTCAAGTAATGTCACACACTAGATGCTAAAAAAATGGAGCTTCTTTACCGGTGTTAGATTTCCACTGAAGTAATTTTTGGTTGTGTTCATTGTCTAGGAATATATAGACTATTTAGGAAGTTTGAGAAGACAAAGAAGATAGTGGAAACATAGAGAAGACCAAAGAATGCTTAGTTGTAAAGAGAAGTTTAAATGCTCTTTGGGACATAATGATCACATGTAGCAGCAGCATCTGAAAACAAAAGGAGAATTCAAAATAAAATATTGTTAATTCTTTGTTGTACAAGATATCTGCTGAGATGGCATCAGTACAGAGATATAAAGAGAGAGTTCAGTTCATTGGAGGCTGCTCATCAATAGCACTTTACCTGTGTTTTCAGTTGTCTACATAAGGTAAATCTGTATATCTTAGTGAAGTTGTGGAAAAGATACACTCAGAGGCAAAAAATTAATAAAACTGAACAGAGTATGTGAACAAGCATGCTCCTTAAAATAGTGTGTAAATGAGTATGTTTGAGTATCTTCCAAATGCAGATTATTGAAAGGTTTGTATTAATGCCCAGGGAGAAGCAGGCTGTGATTTTACATTGATATTTGTGAGTCCAGAATTGTTCCTTCATATTGGGTCATGTTTAACTGCAGCTATATGGGTTGAACCGTCACACCACCGAGAATAATCTTGTGGCTGTTAATAGCAGCCATAAAATCATTAACTAGTTCAGTTACCTTTGTGGGGATTTACGCTGCCGGTTGGTGTAAAGGAGCTAGCAGTATACTGCTGTCAGTTCTGTCTATCTGAGTCTCATATTACTGTGGAGATAATGTGCAAGTCTGAGGTAAACTGTAAGCATAATAAATATCTGGGTTTTTTTTTCCCTTTGTTCCTGCTACATCAGTTGCTTACCAAATTGTGCTTATGTTAGTTTCGTGGTGTTAGCTGAGCGTGGGAACATCTAAATGGCAACAGCTTGGCCAAGAATGAGACACATGTTTTCTGAGTGAAAATAACACTAGGTGTAGTAAAGATTAATTTTAAAATGTTAATTATTAATACCCTTGATTAATGAATAAGCTGGAAAGTCTTACAATAGGATGTGTAGAACACTAACCTTAATCAGCTTATTGGCTATAAGTAAATTGCATTTTTTGTCTTCTAAAGGAAATTCGACATAAATCCAGTGACTACCCTCATAGAGTTGCAAAATATCCAGAAAACAGAAATCGAAACAGATACAGAGATGTTAGTCCATGTAAGTATCTTTTCTGTAATTATTGCAGTAAACTTCCTAGATTTTTTACTTACCCATTTTACTTTTAAATACTGTAGCTAATAAATCATGGTCATTGTACGTTTTGTATTTTGTTAATATCTGTAGGCATGTATGCTATGATAAATGTGGTTTTTGTAACACATACACAAATGCGTATAACGGAAGGGAGGAAAGTTTGCGGGTTAAACTCATTGTGCTGAATGGAGAATGAGAGATGATTGCAAATCATAGTTATTAGTATATAGGTAAACGTGAGCTGCAGAGTAGTATTTTAAAGATATTTTTCTCGTAAGAAAATTATTTGTTTAATAGTGCTTTATCTGTCATAAAAAACCCAACATCTACTGAGCACAGAAATTAAGTTAATAAACCTTGACTAACACAAACAGTTTTCTTCTGGGCAAAGTGATTCTGCACATTTATAAGATTGGGGGATAAATGCCACCTGGTTTCTACTGTTGCTTTAAAAAATACTTGAGATTTTGTTATTTTTATCTGTTTGGAAGAATGTATGTATGAAGTTGTTCTTTAATTTTCTCAATGCAAGTAGATAGGGTATGAAGTACTTTGTATTTTACTAACTGCCATAAAATGGTCTTTGTGACATAATAGTCTTAATCTCCGATGAAGATAATTTTTTTTTTTACCAGCTTCTTTGTTACTGAAGTGTTGTGGACTTTTTTCAACCACATTTACTTTAGAAACTTTAATCCAAAATCATTATAAAAAGGCATGTGAACAAAAGATTACCAATATGTAATTATAGCTGGAGAAAGCTATTGTAAATCACTTTCAAAAGGACTAGGAAAAAGATTTAGTACGGTCTTAATTTTTCTACAAAATATTGAAGTTGGAACAGGTTTAATGTTTGTGTGTTCTTTAGTACGACGTTTCCCAGAGCACCAAAGGCTCATAAAAGTCTTCTCTTGTTACTGGATCTGGAATTTTTGAAGGATTACTGGCTGTTTGTTTGAGAGCCTAATCTGAATACCTATTGTAAGATTCGGAGAAGTGCTGAACTCCTTGTTTCCAGTTCAAAGTTGTGGTAACAGCATGTGCATAGCGCTTCTCAAAATTACGTGGAAAGGGTCTCGGATTCAGTCATGCTGGTCAGAATCAGCGCTGCGTGCTGCTCATTAGAGTGCTGCCAGAATGCTAACTTGCACAGTGTATTCACACCAAATGGATCCGGTCTGGCTTAGTGCTGAATCTCAATACTGCACTCTGATGAAACTGAACTTAAGAGTTCAGTGCACAGCCTCTTTGCTGGGTCTGCATGGCATTCCCCAGTGTGGTCTACTTGAGAAATGTACGGCTCTGAAGAAGATACCTCAAGTTAGTCGAGGCTTACTAACTTCTGCTGTATGCTCAGCAAAGGGAGATAGGCCTCTGCTGGACCTTTGTTGATCTCCACGGAGGTACTTATGTGTCCCAGGTTTGCTGTCCTGTTACAGCACAACATTAGCATCTTACTGGTGGTAAAGTAGATCATGTTTTATTCACTTTCTGTTTCATACCTAAATTGGGATGGGGGTTGTAAGAAGAGAACGCAGGAAATTGGATTTGAGCCCATGAGACCCAAGTTCTGTTCCTGGGTCCAATATCCTGCGCAAATTCTGTGGCAGAAGCTGTATTCAGGCATTTAACATTTCTCCCATCCATGGATTTCATTTCTTAGGCACTACTGCAAAGAGAATGGCAGCTTACCTTCAACATATTTGTGGTTTTTCTTTCTTTTTAAAAAGAATGTTTCTGAAATAAATAAATAAAAAGACATTGTGTTATTTAAGTAGTATCTAATAATGCCAGCAATAACATCTTAGAGGTGGGACTTGTATTCATCTCCTGTAGTTTCCTGGAGCTCAAGATTTTCCTTAATCATTACATGCCTTTTGCAATAGTGAAGAGCACCGAATACCACTGCCCTGGTCATGACAAAGCTTGCTTCTGAAACGCTCGTTTAGCCAGGAGGAAATTAATTATGTGATTAATCCCTGGACCCTCTGCGAGAGCAGAGAGAGACGGTTAGATAAAATCTAGTCTTGAAGTAGTAGTTGGGCTCAGGAAGGGGTTAGAGTCATTACATGCTAGTTGACATGAATTATGACATGATGACTGAACTAAGTGACGAATGTTATGAAGCATGTCTCAGTTTTTAGCATTTATGAAAGGAAGGAGGCTTGAATTGGGCCACCAAGATAGCCTGCAGAACTGGGCAGTAGGAGCAAGGCTGTATGAGGAGAACAGAGCAAAACACTAAAACACTGTGTTTGAACTAGTTCCTGTTGACATCTTTGTGTTTTCAAATATGACTTATAATTGTTTCTGTAATGATGGTGAGGGCTGGGAGGAGAAAGAGACCTGGAAGGGAATATATGATAAATAACGTTCCAAGATAGCAGTACCTAAATTTCAAAGCAGCTGGGGTAATAGTTGTGCGGTTTGGTCACTGTGGTGAACACATCTAATCATGGCGCCTGTATGCAAGGAACTGGCATTGCAGAAATGGAAGGTGACTCAGTCTTACACAATCTTAACATCTCGGTCCTTCACTTTGCAAATTTTACTGCTCTTTAACAGTGTTTAAATGAAAAACAGGTGATAATATTCTCTGATAGTCAAAGGCCTTCAGAACTAGCAGTTAAACTCTTAAGATCTAGCTACTTAAACATATTGTAAGACATAAGACATAATTTGATGAAAATGTTTTATTTTTCCATAGCAGTGAGAAAATGGTTTGTTAATCTACATAGCGGCCAAACCAGTTTAAAATCTGAGGTGGTATGTCTGCAAGAGGAAATGCAAAGATTATTCTGTCTTACGGAAAAGATGTCAATTACAAGTGCAGGAAAAAATGCTTTGGGTTGGTTTGCCCCACTTCTACCATAATATGCAGGACACACAAACGGAAACCGATTTGTGTCTGTTACATACATTTCTAGGTAAAAGTTGATTTCTGTTAGCTGGGAAAGGCTAATTATCTTTGCCCATTACAGCTGAGTTTCATTGTCTCCAGTTTCATAAATGTTTTTGTTAGTGTCCAGTTTTGTAAAGAGCTATGGTGTGTATAAGTTTGGTTGGGTAATAGCCCTCAAGACTTATTGCCTAGCCAAAAAAAATAGCAGTCTAGCAGTTTGGTATTAGTCTAGAATAGGGAGAGGAATATTTTGGCCATGTAGTAGTATTGAAACAGGAAGTTAATCTGAAATAGGTTTGGTTTGACAGCCAGTCATTTCCTGACAGATGAAACCATTTCTCAGAAAACATTGTTAAGAGGAAAATAACTTGTGAGGTTATTATTCTTCATTGATAACTTTAATGAAACTCTAAGATTTCTGTTATTACTTTCCTTCTGAATCTTACCCTCAGTTGATATCAGAGGAGTTTAGTGTCTCAGATTGACTGTAAACACCTTTAGAGATCTGCTTACTGTGTTCCCAGATTCAGAGGCAAGAAGGAAATCCCCGTGGCAAAATTGGCAGGATTTTTTTTTTTTCTTTTGCTTTTGGAGGGTAGATGAGGGTTTACGCAGTTTTATCTTTAGCCTTCCTTTGTAATGTGTGTAGGTCATCTGAACATTTTTGCCTGGTAGATCATGTTGCTGTTGGAGGGTCTTGAGAGGTAGCGATGTCTCTTGTTTTCTTCCTGTGGCCATTAGTAGTCTCTGTGTTGGACCTTTCAACCATAGGCTTACAGTTGTCATAGAGTATATACCAGGGAGAGAGGAATGTGAAGAGTGTTGTGCTTTACAGGGAACAGGATTGGAGCTGTGCATGCACCTAGTGCTGATTAATTATGATTGCAAAAATGTTCCCTTTCTGTCCTGTGTTCTGAGTGTATGTGCTGAGAACAGGGAGATGATCTGTCCAAAATAAGCCTACTGCACTTCTTGTTCATATTAGGAGCTGATATTGATGATTTTTATGACGTTATCTAATAATTCTCTAAACCATCTTTTTACCAGAAACATGGTGTAAATAAACTCAACATGCTGCTTTTGGAGATACTTCTTTCTTTGGGGTTGGGGAAGAGGGGAATTTTATAGTACATACTGATGTAAACTTTATTGTATCTTAGGGTTTTTTTGCAGTCCTGCTTAAAAGTGTAAGGATCCTGTGCAGTAGTTATGCATATATTTCAGTAGGAATACATTTCAGTTATGAGCTAGGCCATGATTGATATGATGTCATTCATTGCGTACAACCGGTGATAGGGTGGGAAAAGTCACTTTGCCTTTCCTTTGCCTTAGGCTACCTCTGAAACTTGAGCTGTAAGTCTAGTGACAGAGTATTGTAATTTGAATAATTTAGCAGCTCAGGTAGACTAGATTTAGATTACTGAAATGAAGCGGATTTGCTGGTAGGTGGGAAAGGGTCGGACTGGGTCATTGGGATGGCTTATGGCTACATGTTTTATTTATGGCTTTCTTTAATCCACTAAGCAGCATTTCACCCTCCTTTGTTTTTAATAGCTCTATAATTGGGGAGCCAGAGACATCTCTTGGATAAAAGATAATTTTTAAGTTATACAGTGGTTTCACTTCTAGAAACACAGTTGTTTTCAAATAAAAACCTTTAATTAACCAACGGCAAGAACTGTATGATGTAAAATGCTAAATGTTTTGTATCTGGGTCATTTTCTTTTTAGCAAGGAGTGGGCAAATCGATGTGTAATGTGAAATCTTGGCCTTATTTGAGACATGGGGAGTGTTGTCACTGATATCAGTGGGACAGGGTTTCACTTGAAGTGGATAATAAGAATTGCTTATCTCAGACAGGGTCGTTCTGGGAGTAGTTTTCTTAGTGCAGGAGCCAGAATGAGAAGCATTTTTAAGGTTTCCACTTCCTTTTCAGGCTTCATAGTTTGTTGAAATAGGGGAATTAGCACTTCAGAAAATGAGTACTATATTTTCCCTGTTGTGGGCATGGCAACACTGAAGATAAATCTTTAAGATAAGATTTAAGATAGGTTTATCATTCATATAAATCTAAAATACTTTGTAACTGGAAATGATTTACATATGGGAAATACGTTACATCTAACTCACTGTCCAAAGTTGGCCTGCTTCATCTAATTCAGAACAGCAAGCCAGGGCTTGAATGAGGTTTCTAGGTCATTGTGTCCTTTAGGAAACTTTTCCCTTGAAAGAAGGGAAATCAATATATTGTAGTGCCTTTCTTTGTCCTGTGGAGTGTATGCCAGTGTATTTGTAGGATTGCTTCTGTTTTAGTTGGGGAGGAGGAGGGAGGCTCTCTGTGCATAGAATTAGTTGTTAAAGGGGCTTTTAAAAAAAACTTTCAGAATTTTATTTGTCATGTTCACAAAGCATAATTTATAAGAAGGAAAAAATAAGCCTGGAAATGTGTGTAAAGATTACAGTAGGAAACCTCATTAGTGCTTCGGCAGTTATCTCCTACTGGCAGCAGTACAGCAGCTGCTGCTGGGTGATTAAACTGTTAACAGTGCTTGCTGACGTCATCTTTCCGAGAACACTAGTACTGGTATGTGTGATTTACTATAACAAGATCTTAAGTTTTTCCTGTTGGCAAATGACATGTAATATTTACAAAGGTCTTGGTTTCTCTCCAGTAGAAACATTTCAGATAAAGTGATACGTGAAAGGAAAAAGTAACACCTTCCTGTCCAGACAAAGTAATATAAGGAGATATATTTCACTTTTAAATGCACGTGTCTTAATTTTACTGTGTCTTGGCTTTGATAATATTTTTTTCTTCATAAAGATGTATCATAAATTGTTTTAAGACTCCTGAAAGTCAAGATGTGTTGCCTTACAGCTGGAATGCTAATGAAAACAAACTAAACCAGTAACTTTCTCATACTTTTGCATTAAAAGTAGATTTTCAGCATATTTCTGTTCTCTGCATGTTTGTATGTGACTGCGTATAAAAGCTAGCAGCTAAAGGAGGTAGAATGACAACCCCAAATCTCAGTCCTTCAGAAAAAAAAGAGTAGTAATTTAATGTTGACTTCTTTCCTTGAATCCAGCAAGATATTCTTTGACAGTTGCCAATAGCAGATAGATGAGGGAGAGTGTAAAAGCAGATCAAGTAAATGTACTTTTCCCAGGTTTCCAAACATATGAAAAGTATTTATAAAATCATACCAGCGGTCCATAGAACAAGAATCTAATTCATTAAATACTACTTGATTCCCATCAGCTTTTTACCTGTTTGGGGTCATATTCATGGATTTTGTTGATAAGCCTTGTGCTGTATAGACTGGGTGTGATATAGGGACTTAATCTCAGTTCAGCTATCATAGCTGTGCTGGATGTGATACTTGGTAGTTGCTCATGTCAAAACTCATGGATTTTGTGCATTTCCCAAGATGCTTCTCAAAAGGAAGTTAACCTTCTGGTGCAGAGATGGGAGAGGGAAAACTGGGCTGACATTTTAACAGCTGCTGTGCCATCAGTCTGCACCCCGAATGAGTTTTGTGGGTTAGACCCAGAAAGGTGGGTGAACGTAGGTTAAAAACTGGCATTGCACCGTAATTCACTCTCAGCTCTGTCAGTTTCTTTATGGAACCTCTTCCTGAAATGTGTTGAAGTCTCTGAAATTAATTTTAGTTGCTGTTTTTTATTTACTCTTCGCATAAACAGTCTGTCTAGGCAGTTGAGCTTCAGGAGGTTTGCAGTCAGTTGGATCTCATTTCCTGGCAGGCAGTTGTGTTCAAATTTTATGCTAAAAATGTTGTTTATTTAGTACAGTTCTAATAAGTGCCTGAAGGATTACTTACTGTGAACAAGTCTGATTGCCTAAATGTCTCCTAGAGGGTGATAAATCAGAACTAAAAGGTTCTAGGAACAGCCATAGTGTCTTTTTATTATGCAGTGTTTTAGTACAAAAGTCTGATAATCTTTCTCATATTAATGTTAGAATTTTAAACAGAGTCCTTTGCTTGCCTCTGCTATAAATGGGGGAATCTTCTGTCTTGCCTGTGTAATCATGAGAGACTGAAACTGTGTAATTAATTAGGCTTTGTTTAATTGGAAGATTTGTTAAATAGGTACATTTTTGCATGTGCCCCTTCTTTAGTATTTTTAATTTGTATAGTATTAAACAATAAATTACAGGGAAAATTAAAGTGATCAAAGATTGGTTTGAATTATTGCAGTTAAAGTGATCAAAGATTGGTTTGAATTATTGCAAGTAGATTTTTTTTTTTTTTTTTTTTAAGCTGTGTGAGTTTAATGTTATGATTCTACCTCAACCTATGAAACTTCAGTTCTCCAAAAATCTTGGAATTCTGAACTTAAAAGGAAACCATGCAGTGGAGTGATCTGGTGTGATAGGACAGAGTGCTGCCTGGTGTGGGTTGTGGTGCTGTTGTATTAAGGAAATGCAACTGTTGAGGGATGGCTGTGAGCATCTTTTGGCATGTGAGGGAGGGTTGTTTTGTTTGGTTGTTTTTTAAAGAAAACTGGGTATTCCAGTTTTCTGAGCTGCTTCTATTAATAGCTGCCTGAAATTACTCTGATGGAATGCTGAGGGGAGAATGAGAAGGGCAGTTGTCAAAGTTACATGAGAAATTAGTTTCACGTATATTTGTAGTTTGCCGTTTGGTTAGTACTGCAGAATTTATTTCTGATTGCTTGTCAGACCTAAACTTGCCTGTTAGAGAGTATTCATCAAGATGGATGCATCATTAATTCTTAATTTTCTTTGAATTTTAGATGACCATAGTCGTGTAAAATTGCAGAACGCTGAGAATGACTATATCAATGCCAGCCAAGTGGTCATAGAAGAAGCCCAGAGATACTATATTTTAACACAGGTAAGTAGTACCAATTACTAGGTTATTACAGGAATTGAGAATCTGGGAGAGGGGGATTTGTACAGTCGTAATTTGTATTTGGATGGTTCCTTGTCTCAGAGTTACAAATATCTCGTACTAACTGCCTGTTTGATCTAGTTGTGAACACATTATTTTATATTTTAAGAAAAAGCTAAAGGGAATATTTAAGTATGAATAGTTTACTGCATGTAAAGCTTTTCAAATATTTCTTGCTCTTTTCTTCAGTTCTTTTGGAAATAGGTTGCAACAATACTTTTACCCCTTATTTCATCTTCTACCTTCTGAGCATGCCCACAGTAGCTTTTCTTCTAATGGCACAATAGAATTGATGCCTGAACTGAAACATCCCTTCCCTGAGTTCTTACTGTTTTGTTGTTTGTTTTTCTGTTTTTTTGGGTTTTGTGGGGGTTTTTTTGTTTTGTTTTTTTTTTAACTTTTAAGTACTGGAATGATCTGTGCAGCGTGGTTACTTTCTTGCCTGTCATTTCTATTATTCTATTAATAATTTGTTTAAACTTTTCAGAGGAAGAGTTTTCCTGTTTCACACAGTGAACTATTGACTGTGTTCAAACACTGCTTTGCCTATACATTCTCCCACCCGTTTTTTTTTCTTTACTACACAGGGTCCACTACCTAATACATGTTGTCATTTTTGGCTAATGGTATGGCAACAACAAACCAAAGCAGTTGTCATGCTGAACAGAATTGTCGAAAAAGAATCGGTAAGTAATATTAGGCCTAAAGTTGTAAAGTAAGCCACATAATTTTAATACAGTTGAACAATGTTTGATTGGTATGTTAAAAGAACTAACAGACTTTCTCACTGGTGTACAGCATAACATGTATTTAATATAACATTAAAGTGATGGAGATAGAAAAAATTCAGTTTGGTGAAAACAGCATCTAATAAATATACATCCAGAAGGGTGAAAGTAACATCCTGAGAAAGGAGGATGTACAGATAGAAATAAGATGGAGTAGAAGCAGTGTAAGATGCTCTAGAACAAAATGGAAGGTGGGAAAACAAGTTTGAATTAAAGTATCTTTATATTATTTCTTCTAAATCTAACAGAGTAGTATATTTGTTATATAGTGATCTTAATTGTTTGTAACAGTGAAGACAAGCTGCTGCCCAGCAACTGTCAAACTGGTCTAGTTCTAGTACAAAAAGCTTATACCACCACCAGCTGGTGGTATACATGCAGAATACACAGAATCTTCTGTTATGATGTTTTTCTGCTAATGTGCTTAAAACCACTGTGGATTTTGGTTATAAATGCATGTCATTTGAGGTTTATGGTTTTTCTTCAGAGTAGATTTGTTAGGGAAAAAGATTTGACTACTCCATTAAAAAGTCGCTTATTTTCTTATGCAAAAATTTTCCTACAGAAAGTTCGAGTGCAGGGCAAGAGGAATAAAGGACAAGGGACAGTTTTGCATTGTTTTGTTAGTTCATTCTTTTGTTTCACTAGAATCTTCCAGTAGACAGCAAACCTTGGGAAAACTGGATGTGTTACAACAGTTATGTAAATGTGCAGGTGTGCACATCAGAAATGGAGGGGGGGAATGTTGTTGAAAGAGCTGAGTAAAGATCTCTGTTCACTGTAGAGAACTAGAGGGGGGAGAGGCAGAAGGGTTAAGGTATATCTCAAAACATGCTAGCCCTGCGATGAAAGAAAGCATAAACAGATAAAGATGGAATGCATAATAGCCATTGAAACAGTTGTAGTAACTTGGCTGTAAACGTTATGGACTTTGAGAATTCTTCAAACTGGGAGCAGATACTTGAGTCTACTATGTTGAATAGTGGGGTCTCAGAATCTGTTCATGCAAAGCCCAAGATACTAGGATACTTAACCAGAATTTTCTTTTCTTTTCTTCTTTTTTTCTCCTTTTTTAAAAAAAATAAATTAGGTGAAGTGTGCACAATACTGGCCAACAAAAGAAGAGGAAGTTATGACATTCAGTGAAACAGGTTTCCGTGTGAGGCTAGTATCTGAAGACGTCAAATCCTATTACACAGTACATCTACTGCAATTAGAAAATATCAACGTAAGCTTTTCTCAGTCTGTATAGCTCATATTCCTGGGCTTAAGTATATAATGAAAACCATTTAGCATATTGTCACTAGAGATTTGATTAAGCTTGTACACTGAAAATTTTACTGCACTTTGCTTCTTATAATGTTGAAGATGTATGTGTGGCATAGAAGCAAGTGAGTTAGAGCTGAATTAATCTATACATTAAAAGAGATAACAGCTTCAGCATTTTTATACTTACATTTTCCATTTGGCAGTACCTTAACATGCTGAATTGTAATTGATGGTAGTGGCGATTCTAAGAGGACCTGTAAGAAATACCCTAAAAGGAGGCACCTAGGAGTTGAAATTTCTGATTTCTTTTGAATATCAGAAATCAGACTCTAATTACTGTTTTTTAATGGAATTTTAGTTTTCCGTATAATTCAGTCCAGCTGTCTAAGTTTTTTGGGGGAGGGGCGATTACCACCTGTAGATAGGTAACTTTATCTCCTCTTGCTTACCTCCCCTTTTGCTCCACAGGACCAACCATCCTTTTCTCTTAAAAGTTAAGCACTTTGACAATTTAATCAAGTTAAGCTCAAAAAAATTGTTCCTGGCCTGAGCTTGGGTTGGAATTTGCTGCTTCTGTTTCAGAGCTGAAGACAGGATTGAAGAGCTTGTCTGTTTGTTCCAGCTATGTCTTGTAAGATATTCTCTCTCCCTATGAACCTTGCCTTATATTAAATGAAAGTGCTAGTATGGCAAGTTTTATTCAAGGTTGTCTTGTCAGTGGATTTGGGAAAGGAAAGCTTGAAGATGTTCCTTTGCATGTTGTTTTATACAACTAAACATTGATATGTTTGGTCAAAATTATTTGAATTTATAGTAATTATTAATGTTACTTCGAGACAATGTTTGTTAATTCGAAACCTCCCTCACGAGATCAACATGATAAAACTTGGCATGTTGTTCCTTGATCTATTCAATGTAAGAAGAGCTTTATGAAATTCCATCCTACTGACCTGAAGAATTTCTGTTCAGTTGTTTGTTTATTGACAGCAAAGGTCAAGAGAATAGGAGTAGTGCTTGCAAGCTAGAGCCTGAGAAAGAATAACTTTCCTTTTTGGAAAACTGAGGCAAGTTTTCCTAACTACTGAAAAGGCTTTTTCATGGAATTGTCTGGCTGTCGTAGGTCCCTAATCTTAAACTTCCTATTTTCAAAGGATGCAGTTTTCATGATACGTGTATGTTTGGACACAACATTAGCTGGAAAATGCAGAAATCCCTTGAGGAACAGCACAACGTATACTATAGTAGACTTTTGAGTTGGAGCTATTGAGCACTTAAATTTCTGGGTTTGCTTTGGACTGGTAATGCAGGCCCATCAGTGCTGTACAGAGTTTCTTGTATGTCATGTAACTCAGTTTCACAAATACTTCGCAAACTTACTGCCCTAGCACTCCCATAAGGCTCCACAAATACCAACTCCAAAGAATATTTTTTATATAAAACCGCTACAAGAAGTAGAATGTACTTGGTTACTGAAACAGAAAAACTACATATTTCTAGAATAACACTGCGAATGTTAAGTGCAGCCTTCTGTAAGAATTTGATAATTATAGCATAAAACTTGTGGGAACTGAGAATTCACATTAACTTGAAATGTGAGCTTAACTATGTTTATATGAGTTATTCTGGAGGGGACTTTGGTGGAGGCAGACTAATAAGACATTTAGCCAGTTGACACCTGGAATATAAGATGACTCACAAACAAAATATACTCTGAATTCCAAGAATACTTAAGAAATTTTAGTATTTCCTTGAAAACAGAGAGAACTAGAATTGTCTTTATAATACAACCATTCTGAACTCAAGTAAATTTGTGTTACTGCAACAAATCTCTCTAATACATAAGCAAAATACATATGTCTGAAGAGTAAAGTTGTAGTAAAAAAAAAAAGTAAAATTGTTTAATGTTCTTACCAATGAAACAACCTCTGAATATTTGTTTGGTTTTGTTGGTGGTGTTTTTGTTTTGTTTTGCTAAAGAGCAGTTAGAAGTACCAGTGGGGTTTGGGGAGGGGGGCAATGTTTGGTTTTTAGGATTCTACCAAGGCATTTGGTGGTTTGATTTGTTTATATCTGTTCTAGGCAAACATTTGTTTTTGCTGTTGTGGCTAGTGTAGTCCAATAAAGCTTTGGAAAGGAGGTGGTGTTTATTGGTATCTTTCCAAAAGTTTTGAAAATGTTTCTAGTGTGCTTTGTCTTGCTGTTGCTTATTGTGGCACTTCCTTATTTTTTGCCTGACCCAGTCTGCATTTTAGAATATAGAAATTTGAAGCTGCCTTTCCACCATGGTTCATGGTGTATCCTCCATCGTTTTGTTGGTGTTAATTGTCAGCTCTTCTGAAAGTTGACTGCTGCTTTCTGCTGTAATTGCTCAGGTTCAGAACTCTCCTTGAGGAAAGACTGACTGTGAAGGCTTCCACAAACCCTTGCCTCTGTTGGAAAATGAGAGTAGAAGGAAAATGCTGTGCTCATGTTAAAAATTCATAATCATTTATGTGTGAAGCTATTGCGTGTTTGTGATTTGAAGCAGTCTTCCAGTATACTGGAGAAGTGATAGTTAGGTGTTTACAAGAGCCTTTTGTTCAATCTGTAAAATAACCTTATTGGATGGTGTTGCCAAGTTTTGTGATGATATTATGGGAGAATTGTTAGACGCTGACAGCTAACTTCTGGAAGACTCCACCTTGTGTTTAATATGGTTTTTTTATATTATTCTTTATTGCTGTTTTTAGCTTTCCTTGTCACAAGTATAAATACTGGTCTTCAGAGAAAGAAAACCTGTGTTTTCAATAATTTCTGGTGTCGCAACCCAGATAGCTTGGAGAAGGATATAGTGTGACACATAATGAATGCTTATAAGCAAAACCCCACTAGCTTGGTGCTGGGGAATTCAAGGAAGCTATGGGAGGGCAAATGAGCATTGGTACTTGAGTGAAACCAGGGATTGACTGGGTGAGGAAATGGAGCAGGGAAAGGAATTGAAATTGCTGGAGGAGCCTTGATGAATGTATCTCAGACTGGGTTCCTAGAAATAAGAATAAAGCAGCTGAAGGAGAGGTTTGCAAAGAAAATATTTGCTGGAGGAGAAAGGACTAGAAGAAATGAACTAGATTGGATGTGACACTGGTGGTATGATACTTTAGAGTAAGGTCCATTAATAAACCCCAAGTGGAATCTTGAGTCCTCTGCAAATAGCAAATATTTGGAAAAACCCATTAGCAAAATGGATTCTCAACTTAATGCCAAGTCTCTGTGTGGCCATTGCTGTCAGATGAAGGTGACGCAAGACTCCTTAGTGGCCCTCACTGTCTGATCCAGTGGATGAACCAGAAAGTGCCAGTGTAATTCAAGAGGGTAAGATTTGCTTTGCTGCTAGTTTCCAATGTCCAAAATTCTAAATCTACTGAGAAGATACTTTGTTTATGGAGGCAAGCAATGTAATGGCAGGTGATGTTCTGGGATCTTGTGGTATCTTTGTATATGGATGTGTATGTAATTGCTATAGTGTTTTGAAGGGATTTCTGAAACATGGCAAACATTTGCTTTTAAACTTGTGGGGCATCCTTATATCACTTTGACAAACTGCAACAGGTATTAATTTTGGTCTTCATGACCACAGAAACAATACTGAGGTGTCTTAACAGGAAAGGAGAACCCAGACTCACTTGAATGTCAAGTGTTTTGCAGACTCAATACCTATTACCATGTTGACTTACAGGATATGCACTAGTTATTAAAAAAAATCCGGAATGCTTGTGAGGATTATTTGGCTCCATTATCTTCACTGCGATTTTTATGTACATTTTGAAAACCATTTTGCCAAGCATTAGAATGAACAAATAGAAGAGAAGGTGGTAAAAGTTGATTTAAGATTTTGAATTTCAGTGCTTAGGATATTGCCCTTACAGCTTGCCTTCTCATTTTTATATGATCAAATTAGTTGTTAATGCACTTAAGGCATGATCGCTAAATACAGGACCACTATGAGGTTGCAGGTGTATTTTACGCCTTCATACAGTAGACTATTTCAGTAGCCCTTAAACTATGAAATTAAGGCTTTTATAAGGAGTGTGTGGGATTTGACAGACTAGCATTTTTCTGTCTTCACCTGTTTTACTTGATGCTGAAGGTGTCAAATTCCTTTGAGCATTTTGGTAATACTTTATTCATGTTCATTCTCCCAGGTGACTAAACAACGTAAAGTTATTCTAAGATTTTTGTACCCTTTTGTTTTGAGTGATTGGATAGTCACTGTAAAAAGGTTATGACAAGGCTTGTTTTGATGAAAGTTAGTCTAATGGCATTATGTTATTTTTCTGCTCAAGTCCTAGTGTGGATGTCTACTTGTAACCTTGTGGTTTGATCATCCTTTGATTATGCTCTTAGTGTTGCCAGCAGTTAGTGGAGAACTGCACAGCGTGGTGATAACTTTCTGAGTTTTAGCTATGTTGGTTATTTACTGAAAGCTTATCCCAGTAGTTCGTGAAACTTTTGCTAGAATGCTTTGACACATTTTCTTGAAAAGTTGTTTGTTTAAAAGTTGTCCTGTGATTATTCAAGGATTTTTAAATTTTTTTTTTTTCGGTAGCTAGTCGTAGGGAATACATCTTGGAAGAATATGTTGCGGTTACCATAGAATAAGCTGGTTTTCGGTTATCATGCAGAAATGTGTTCCCTGTGTACAACATATATAAAGTCTTATATTACTGCTTGAGTCTTGAAGTCCAGCTTTTTTTCTTTAAAAGAATATCTAGTTTCCTGATAACACTTTTAGTAAAATTAGTTGTTCTTTAAAATTGAATTTCTGTCCATGAACAGTTGTGAATCTTTGGCAAGCCAAACCTTTTCTCATTATAGTCCTGCATCACTTCACGTAAGTGATGGCTGTGGTGTATGGCTCAGTGACAGGGGGAGTTCTTTAGGAAAGGGTGGTACGGATATTCACACAAAGACAGTATTTCAGCTGTACAGCTTGACTGCAAGCACCACTTGAAAGAGCCATTCTGTTTAAGAGAGAAAATGTGGGAGATTTCAAATACTCAAATGGGATTTGGCTGTACGATTAGAAACTGCAAGTTCAAAGAAGACCAGTCCGTTTTGGTGCTCTGAAGTGGAACTCGCGGAGAAAGATGAAGAGACAGGTATTTTTAAAATGAGCTGAAGTGATGGAAAATTGTTGGATGGATAAGGCCTTCGTACAGTACGGGGAGGGAGAAAAAAGTAATTCTGTGGGTTAGAGCTGAAAGAGACGTACAACAGCACTGACTAATCTTTCCTTTAGAAATACCTGTTTCCAGGTTAGTGTATGAGCAGGGTGACACTTGGCCATGTACTTGAAGCACTACCGATTTTTTTTTTTTTTTAGGAGGAGAATGCTAGTGTTTGTTACAGTATGGGATTTGGGGGAAAAAAAACCCAACCTGCAGATCACCTTTGTTTTCTATAGACGAGCATTTTTGCCTTCTTGAGGTATAAGGGAGGCTTTCATCTGGAATGCTATTTAAGAATCTTGAGGGGGAGGGGGAGAGTACCAATTACCGCTTCAAAGGATCATCTACATTCGCAAGAAACAACTTTAACTTTTGCTTTACCTAGTAAATGCATTTAGCTCATCTCTACAGTTTTCCTCTTAATTTTGTTTTTAAACTGATGAGTTATTTTTATTAGAAATAGAGGAAATTGCTTAAGAGTGTTATCTTCTTTAAAATCCAATAATTTCCAGTTTTCTTATTAAAAAATGTATCTCCTTCATGATTTTTAAACAAATGGGTCATTTCAGTTGATTAGTGAGTTAACTCACTAGTTGAAAAACTAGGTACAGAAGACCAGTAAGAAGATCTCAGTTGAAAATTCAAACTCTTTTTTAATGCTTTGCTTCAGGCAAATAAGAAAGTGTATTTATACAATTTAGGCTTTGGTAGATTTTCCCCTCCCCTCTTTGAAATCTTACTGTGTACTCATTTTCCCAATATGATGGATCAGACTCTGTTGTCCTTGTCGAGCTCTTAGCCAAAAGACAAAATATTCCTGGAAGATAACTGTATTTGAGAGTGTATTTGAGAGTGACTTGAGTCAGGTTAATACCCACTGTTTTCTGTGAAAGTATTGGCAGTCTTGCAGTATCAGGCATTGAAGGCAAAAGACAAAAATAGGAGAGTATTTTTGTTACTGTGGTAACCATGAACTGGATTATTTTAGTTTCACAAAGGAGTTTCCTAAGTTGTCCCTCATAAGAAGTTGAAACAGACTGAGCAGGAAGTGAACAGTAGAATTTATTTTCATTTCATAGCTATATTTTTTATTTGCCGAACAAGAAAAATAGTTTTTCTGGAATACATTGATATTTTTGTAGAGGTTTATGTAAGTTTCAATCTATGTGGAAAATAAGGTGAAATGGAGGGAGGATAAAAATAACTGAACCTTTCTAAAATTCCTGAGCTAAATCAGTGACCAAGTTGTCTCAAAATCACTGTAGCAAGAAAGGAAAGAAAGCAAGGAGTAGCATTTAACAGCAGGTCTGAAGTGAGTTCCATAAAGATACAATGCAAATTTGTCATCAAAGCTTTTCAGATATATAAATACTTTCTTGCTGTTCTTTCAATACTCGCAGTTAGTTGGTCATGTTAGGAGAGGAGCTGCATGGTTCTAAAACAATTGCATGGTTTTGGAATCCTTCTTTCTTACTTAGAAAGAACAAACACATCCTACAGAAGTCTTGCTAGACATCCTGCTATGTGGGCTCTTGTAGGCCTTTTCCGTAAAGCTTCCTGCTCCTCTCAGTAGTGTGGTTAGTATAAAGGAGATGTAATACCTCTTGATATTAAAACTTGCTCTGAGCAGGAGTGGAGAGTGCTTACAATGCTGACGGGTATCTTTTTCAGTCCTGTTAATGCAGTCTAATAACGGCTGTCAGCCATTAAGCTGCATTAATGGTAGAAAAAGAAGAATGTTTGGAGGCAAGTAGTACCAAATACAATATTGGAAGTTTGAGAAGAAGAAAAAAAATGTGTATGGCAATCATTGCAAAGGGGGAAACTACCAACTTGGATGAAAAACTGCTTCAAGTTGCACTGTTGTTGTCATCCAACTTGAAGCAGGTTGTTGGATTGTTTGTCTAAATGGGAGGTTTAAAATAGAAAATAGCTATTGATTTAGATTGGGGAAATGTGTGCTAACTAAACAAAAGTAGAATACTTTCTAGTTGTATTGTTTATTTGTTTTCACTTCTAGAGTGGTGAGTCCAGGATGATCTTTCATTTTCATTATACTACATGGCCAGACTTTGGAGTTCCTGAATCCCCCGCTTCATTCCTGAACTTCCTGTTCAAAGTCAGAGAGTCTGGTTCACTAAGCCCTGAACATGGACCTGCAGTAGTTCACTGCAGTGCAGGGATAGGACGTTCCGGCACGTTTTCATTAGTAGATACTTGTCTTGTTCTGGTAAGTGGTTGTTTTCTCTGCCACCCCTTTCCTTCTCCTGACACCCTGCCTGTCTTCCCAATATAGGCTTTTTGGTCAGAAGGCTTTAAAAGCATTTAAGTTAATGACAAGCCAGTGAAAACTTTAATTAAGACATCATACTCTTCCCGCCCGCTCCCCTCCCTCCCCCCCCTTCAGAGTTAGGCTTGTGAATATATATTGAGACAACTGAATATATAAGTCTTTTTCTCTAAACATGGAATATCTTGCAAGTCTGACAGGCCCCTTTTCTTAAGGTTGCAGAAAATTGGTATCTGAACTAGGACGAGAACTCAGGCATGCCCCTGGATCTCCTGCAGTGTGTAATGGAGGATGGTGCAGAATTTCCCTAGCTGTGCAGCCCTCTGGGAGGTGGGGCTTGGTAGCCAGTTGAAGTAGCACATGAATGAGTATGTTTTTTGCTTACTCACTGAACTGCATCATCTATAATTGCTCATGACTTGAGTGAACTTTAAATGTTAAATAATATTTAAAATCTCTTTAAATTTTTGTTGGATTTTAAAGTCCAGACACAGACTTTTTGTCTTGGGCTGTGCTTGGTAATAGTGAGAAGTACAGTACAGGGTTAGGCGAAATAGGATTTCATTTGAATTATAAGACACTTATCTTCTGGTTTGGTTAGGTCCTCTCAATTTGTTTTTTATTTTTTTCTTCAGGTTTTTTTTTCCCTGCATTTTGAAAAAAATAGATGTATATTTTGATGCAAGTATACTTTAATATTAGATGAATTAAAGTGAATATTGCAAGAATTGCAGATATGTGGTTAAAAACACCCCATGAATGTAGTGTGGGGACAAGTGTGTGCATTGCTTGGATTAGGGATTCTGCTTTAAATAAGGAAACTTCTGCCACATTCAGTCATTCCAAATTGCTGTTCCATTCAGAAGCAGTAGAAAATACTGCTTTATGGTTCTGATTCTTATAGTCCTATTTCAAAGTACAAATACATGCCTGAATAAAATCAAGCGTAAGATTTGATATTAGGGTACTGATTTATTTGGTTAATACATGATCATTGATTTGTTCATAATGAGCTTTCATTAGATGGTTAACTTTTTTCCTGTAAAAACAATTTAGAAATCATTTGAGATGTTAATTTCATATATAACTAATAGAAACATAATATGAAGAAATTAATTTTTAGATTTAATTTTATGACTCATTTTTACATGTAATTATTTTTTATATGTTGTCTCTCTTTATCAGTAGCAATGATGCTTTCGATGTAACTTTCTTTACAGATGGAGAAAAAAGACCCATTTTCTGTAGATATCAAGAAGGTATTACTGGATATGAGAAAATACCGAATGGGACTTATTCAGACTCCTGATCAACTAAGATTTTCATATATGGCTGTAATAGAAGGAGCAAAATTTATAATGGGGGATTCAACTATACAGGTAAATGTTTAGCTCTGTGTATTTACACATAAACAGGAGACGAGAATGAGCTCCGAACTATTTTAAAACATGTAACTTTGTAGGATTTAAATAATTTGCCGTTTTCAATAGATGCCTCGAAGGTATTAGAGGGTATCTGATCAGCGCCTTCTATCAGCTAAACTTTTAATCCTATGTATTTGTCCCCTCTTAGATAAAGTATAAAAATAACTTCTCTGTACTAATGTTTTTTTTAAAAAAAAAAGAAGGTTAAATCAGTATCTTCAATACTGAAAAGCAAAAGTAATGCCCAGTATCCCTTTGAAAAGATAGCAAGGATCTTTTTAGGATTTCTTGATTTTTTGCTAAATGTTTTCCTGACAATAAAGTTGCCTGATGCTACGTATCAGGTTTATTAATAATGTTGCTTTTTTATATATATATATCTCCTTTAAGATTTGTGTTACAGTTAGCACACTCTAACTGAATATAATGAGTTTTGGGGTGAACAGATTACCAAATCTCACTATTTTATCGGTGTGGCTTGCAGACGTAACTAGCTACAGGTATTTTAAATGGCTGGGGCTAGGTGGGAGGGAGGACTGGGAGGAGAGGCTGCGAAACAGACTTAATTCTGTTTTCGTATGCTAGGGCTTTTTTATTTTGTTGATCTCTTAAAATCATGAATGAAACAGATAAACTAAAACATGTTTCCTCTTTTCTGTGGTTCTGGTAGTTGTCAGATTCTTCTCTTTGACAAATGTTTCTTGACTTGCTATGTTAATAAAGAAATAATTTTGCACAACTACTAATCAACACCTAGGAAGTGTACTGCTAGTCTGACACCTGTGCCTAGAAGACTCATGATTCATCCTAACACAGCAATTTAGTCTCTTTATTTTCTGGAAGCTGTTTCTGGTGGTATGAGTGTATTCCTCTCTCTAACAATTTTTCTGCTTTGTTTTTTAAAAAGCCATGCTCCAAACTCTGAGCAAGTCTGGATCCCATGCTTACCCATCTAGATCACAGGATTTCTTGTTTCTGGATGCAAGGGAATACTGCTTGTCAGTTATTAACTGTGTTATTTCTTCATACTAAGAGAATGCCGAAGAAGGCACACTTCTCATTTGTTCTTTTTTTCTTTTCCTTGTTATGGTTGTTCAGATGAGCTTTCCTAAACCAGTGTTTTCTGTAGTGCAGGCAGTTGTCCTGGTGCTTTCTCTTTAGGCCTCAGGGTCATGTGCAGAAAATCAATTGGCAGTACTTAATAGGAGTATTTCTCCTTTCAAGGTCAGCTAGATCATTTTTCCCCCCCCATAGGGAACAGTGGTACTGTCCAGAGTGTGAGAGGTGTTTCCTTCTCTCTGCTAGTGATGGGGGAGGGCGTGAAGTCATTGAACACATGCCTAATATAACATTACCCAAATGTTCATCTCTGACATCTCCATGGATTTCGGAAGTCAGTAAACTGTGCAGACAAACGGAACGTACACTTGAACCTTTACTTGCTCCCAGCTAGTGCCTGCAACTGCAACTTGTATCAGGGGGTGAGGAGTCTCTTCCCCTTATTTAGCACCTCTGGGATTTCCACCTGTGACTGAAAGGAAGGCACATACACTCACCTAGGTTGCCCTGAAGCCCTGTGTGTGGTTGGTGTGCTGCTGCATGGTGCTGTAGCTGAAACAATTACTTGCTTCCTAATTATACTACAGCACTGCACTATGTAAAATGGGTGAGGTGGAACAAGATCGAAGTTTTCATTTCTATAGAATTCCTTTGTAATAAAGATAAGTTAATATTGCTTCAACAACATAGTAGAATAACTTAGTATCACTCTTTCAGAAAAATCTGTTGAAATGAATGGTCTCTGGAAAACAAGTTTGTGGCTTTGAAAGGACAAAGAAGGTTGAATTCCTTAGATCCGTAGATGTGTTTTGCAGACAGAGAACAAGAATATTAAAATTTTGTAGTGAAATTTGTGAATCCAAAAACTATCTGACATTCACCTGATTCTGTCAACTGAACATCTTAATGTGCTTTTCTGTTGAGTCCATTCATTCCAAGAGGCAATACAGGCCCTAAGTCTTAGCTCCCTTACACAGGCATTTTGGTTATAATTTTAAGGACAATTGTATTTCTTAAATCAAACTCCATCACTTCTCTGTTTCTTCCAGACATAATTTCACAAGACGCAGTGTAGTACTTCAGTTCCTGAGATATATTTTTGTTGTTCTTTTTTGTAAAGTTGCAGGTACTATCATAAAATGGTAATTTATAATAGGCAAAGGTAATTTAGCAACACTATCCTCCTTGTCTGTCTGCTCCAAGTTGTACATTATCTTACCAGTCCTGCCATTCATGTAGCCTTGTCACAGATATTTAAACTTAAAATTACCACCATTTGAGCTATTGTTATTATGTGTTTAAAATAGAATTCTTGGTGGGAAATTCCTTCTGTTTGACAAGAGTAGTAAAATTGTCTCTGATTTCAGTTCTTCCTGTGTGGCTTATCACTCCAGATGGAATCAGTATTTATCTTAGCCAGTAAGTCTCTTACGGACACAACCATGTCTTCCAAAAGGCCTTTTTCCATGACAGTAAGATGGAGCTGCTAAGTGGATTTCCATTTGTTAGTGGCTGTATCTTTTTTGGTTTTTTTTTTTTGGTTGTTGTTTGTTTGTTTGTTTAACAGAAAACAAAGAAAACTGCTGAGAGTGAAGTCTCTTGTGCATGAAGACTCCCTTTGTGAATTTTAGATCTATACTGGAAGCTTCTCTGTGAGGGAGGAGTCAGTTTATTGTTAAAGCTTATTTCGCCAGCAGTTAATTTATAAGTAGCTGGGGTTTTTTGACATCAGTCTCTGAGTTTGATACTTAGTTTAGACCAGCAGTCTTGAATTCATTCGACAGATGAGAATCTAACACTTGTTTTGTGAAGAGTCAATTTTCAGTTCATCTTTCTTATCATAGACATTTTAGAAGTAACTGATTTTTTTAAAAATAAAAGATTTTTTTTTTTTTAAATAAAAATATTCTGTATCTTTACAGGCTGGCTGATTTGTGTGAGAAAAGAACTGATTGGTTTTTAGAGGTGATTCTTTTCCTTCCTGTTACCTTTCTAGTTTTTTTTCTGCATGAAATTTTGTGGCCAGAAGGCCCTCGGACGAGTCATCATTAGGACAGTTACCCATTAGGACAGAGATCTAACAAACCAGTTTTACTTCTGATCTTTTATTTTTTCTTCCATCTCGTTTCAGATTACTTCTCAAAACAAGGTGAATATCTGTTTTATGATGCAGTAGATCTCTGGGCTAATGGACCATTAGGTGAAATAGTAGACCACAACTTTGGCATAGTGGTGTTTTTTTTGTTTTGTTTTGTTTTTTTCTTTCCCTTCTTCATTGGGGTTGCAAATTTCTTCAGTTCTCTCTTTTTAGGCAGTTCTTGGTCCTACCGTGTTTTGGAGCCATGATAGGTAACTGCACAGCGTAGGCCTGTAGAGGGAGATGGAAAGTGCTGAACAGTGCAGGACTATACAAGACAAGTTGCTTTCTCATTGTGGAGCCTCTGTTGACAATACAAACCCCGAAGTTAGTGGCCTCATACCTTCACAGTAGCATCATCTGGAGAAATACAAAAAGGGATCATTGTTGGAGAAGATGCATCTTCATCTAACCTTGTTTCTTCATCTAGCAATTGTTATCTTTTTTCCTTGATCTAGCAGTTCCTTTAATCTACTTCTGTGACTTTTCTGTGGGAAGACATCTTGGGCAAAGAGGGCTTTCAGCGTTAGCGGAGTGTTTGAAATATGTTCTCCTTGTTTGCAGAAAAGGTGGAAGGAGCTCTCTAAGGAGGACCAAGCACCAAGTTCTGAGCAGTCTCCTCCACACCCAACCAAAATAACCTCAGAGAAGTACAATGGGAACAGCATATGCCTGGAGAATAAAGATCAAATGGAGAAAATAAATACTGACCTGTCCGCTAAAGTTCAGGATATCACAGATGGAAACATTGAAAGGTAGGCAAAATGAGGAAACCGTTTAGAAGGCAGATAGGCTCTCTTGAGAGGCTGAATTATTGTATGCTTTTCTTACCATAAGATACCTTCAAGATGTTCCTTCAGTAGAGGCAAAGGACAGGCGGTATTTAACTGTCTGATTTAATTTTTTTTTTTTTAAATACAACTTCAATTATTCCTTGTAATAAGCCTCTATTGTTTAAAGGTCAAGAGAAGAAAAACAAAGGTCTCTAATTGAAGCAGCTAAACCTCATGCTTGAAAGCCTTTTCCTACAGACTGTCTGCGAACTCTGTTGTGCAGTGTGAATTAGGTCCTAAAAGTGCCCAAAATAATTTGATACTGATTTTTAAATACAATGCTAACTTCTGTTTGGAGAAATATATGATACTTCAGAAGCTCAAAGTTGTTATTGGCTACTGTTTTCTATATGATGATTGCAATTGTGTCATTGAAGCCATATGTTACCCTCTGTTCATGTTACATCTACCACTGTGAATAGATTTCTGTGGGTTAGCTGTGGCATGCGAATTTGTCTTTCAACTTTCTCTGCTTCATGAGTAGTAACGCCTCAGCTGTGAGCTGCTGTATTGGGAATTACCATCCGAATTGCTGTGCCTTGAGGCACTGTGTCACCTGGGCCTGCCCACGTGAGGGTAGCGTGTGGATCCATAGCCAGAGACCCAGAAACCAGACTGGATTGGGCCGAGCCGTGCAGTGTCTGTCCCAAAGGGCTGCAGTCAGAGATGAGATGCAGCAGTTCAGTGGAGATAGACTGGAATTCTGAAATAACAGATGGCTTACTGAATGCCCGGATGAGTTTGTCTTTCCATGTCTTTGAGTGTTTTGAGAGAGAATGACAGCGGTTCTGTAGGTGTGTGAAGGAGCCCTTCACAAGCAGGATGGGGGGGCATGGGTGTGTATGGTGTTTGTGTGCTAGGACTTGGACAATCAAAGTGGGGTTTTTTTGTGGCAGAGTTATGCTTTCTTAGAGATTGTGAGGATACTTTTGGAGACAAGAATTACAAGGCGGCCCTGGTAGTGTAACAACACACTGATTTTTTTAGCCTGTGTCCTTGATCAAGATGTGGTTTACAGCCTAAGATGAATACTATTAAATCTGCATGCAGACATGAGTAGGTTAGGATCAATACACCAGTGAGGCTAGTGTGAACTCTGCAGTGGAGGCACACACTTAAATATTATGAATGTTTGCACATGGTACCTGACACTGCATATAAAAGCAGCCTCCAAGCAAAAAGTCTCAGCCACCCAAATGGGGCACTGACCGGGGTGAAAGACTACGCTCAGGTAATTAAGCTAATTCTGTTCCCTGTTCAACACATAGGTCAAGCACCACTTACATCTTTACATGTGTCATTTACTTACTTCATGGGGCTTCACTGACCTGAAACTGTGCACATCAAGGTTGTTAAAACAGAATAAAGATTGCTTGGTTTAGATTTTACGTACTGCTGCCATATGCTACTGGGTTGGTTGGTTAACTATTGGGAGTGTGTTGGGAAGAGGTTTGTTTTAATATTTTAATAGCCTTTTTTCCTGTTCTACAGTTTAAGATTTACCTTTTTTTTTTTTTCCCTTTAAGTACTGTCCGAAAACGACTGCGAGAGGACAGAAAAGCTAACACAGCACAGAAGCTGCAGCAGATGAAGCAGAAGCTAAATGAGACTGAAAGAAAAAGAAAAAGGTGGTTATATTGGAAACCTATTCTCACTAAGATTGGGTTTGGTACACTGATTTTAGTTGGTGCTTATTCTTGCTGGAAAATGTATTTTCAAGAACATTCCTTGTAAGTAAACAGTAAGCCTGTCTGCTCCAGCGGCTAATTTTGCTGCAAGTTAATGACTAGGGGTGTGACTTTAAGCAGTAAACTCCTTACACCTGGAATGGGTACAGGCTGTTACATATGATAGAGAAGTGATGTAAACTTGATCCCATGTCAACATCTCAGGACTTTCCACTGCAGGTACTTACAGAAATGAACTGCTGCCCCCCAACAGAGTTGATGTTTTTTTGTTGAAACGAGCAGGTACAAACTTGCTGCAACTGTTTATACACTTTTTAAAATGGTGTTCTACTGGATCTTAAGCAAACCCTGAACCACAGAGGTTTAGCTACTGAAGGCTGTCTGGATTTAAATTTACATGCCTGACATAAGCAATAAACAGTGTTGTATCATTTACATTATTAATGCAAAGAAGTTATCCTTAAATGTGTGTAATGTGTAATGTACTAGTGACATGAACATAAACATTTTATATTCTTATGACCTAGGATAAATATATTTTATAATTGCATATTTAATCTTTTTGTAGTTACTGTACTTTTAAAAACCTAGTTTGTACAAATTTCTGACCAAAAAGAATTTGGTTTTGAAACTAAATGTAATTATAATTTGTGCATGAAAATAATAGTGCAACCATTCCCCATATTTTGACTCTCAAATTTATGATATGAGCAGCTAGGGGTCTGATGAAGCACTTACCAATTTCTACTTTGTTAATTTGCATTCCTTATTTATTTTTTTGTAGTTTTCATTATTTAAGTAAGGCTTGGAAATTTGATTTTTTTTTTTTTTTAAGGCTTTTGAGAACTTAGCCCCCACTGAAAAGCATACTGTTAAGTTGATTCATGTATTCAGACTTCAACTACTGTTTGAAGGCCAACATTGTTAAAGTTCTGACATTCCATTAAATGTGAAACATAATGTTTTGTGTGTTATAGATTTTAATTGCTAGAAAGAATAAAATTCCTTCATCAGTAATAGGTGTAGAAAGCGCATCGAAGAAAACTATAGTTGGACTTGCAAGGGTGGTTGTAATAGAAAATGAGTGTTGGTAGTATTCTCCCGTACCCAGTATATTCAGCCGTATGAGCCACTTCCATAACTTCACAAAGTTTTGTGAATTGCTTTTCAGGTTCCCCAGCACTGTATTAAAGAGGCATGACTTAAAACACTTAATGACTAATATTTTGGGAATACCTATGCTACAGTCACTTTAAAATTATTGAGCACTCTCTTTCCATTAGTTGGACGATAACACTTTCTAAATAGTAATTCAACACAAATCACTTTCTGTCCTTTAAATTCTCTCTGAATGCTGAGATTGTATGTGGCTTTATGTAGCTTACTGTCATTCAAGTTGAGACCTAATAATTTGTAGGATTGGACTACACTTTGAAATCTGGATTTTATTTATTCAAGCATTGCCTTGTTGGGTGACTTCAGAGAAGTCGTGTTTTCTCCCTCCCATTTTCCAGCTTGGTTGTTTTCTGTTGGATATGGGGGTTTTGCGGCAGTTTCTTTTTTTCTTTTTCTTTTTTTTTTTTTTTTCCCCTCCTCCCTACTCCTCCTTTTGTAAAGCACTTCTTGGATTTACTGCTGAAAAATACTAAAAGAGCTAGATAATTACTTTGCTCCTTATCCAAAGGAATTAACTTGAAAGGTTTCCAGTATGTTCAAGCTTAGTAGTAACATACCAGGCATGACGCCCAAATAATCTGACATTTACTACGCAAAACTAAGTTGAGTTTACTCTTTGAAATTCTCATTTCACAATAGCTAATACTATTTTGGACTACACTGTTTATATAGTAAACAAATGCTTAAGGGTCCAGATAAGGAAAACAAGTGTAGTTTCTTAGAACATACAGTTCTGAATTCGGGAAACTGTGTGTCAGTAAAACAAGGTAATTTGTCCTGTGGCGTTGCTGACCAACTATGCAGCTCTAATAGCAAAATGACTTACTGATTGCTGTGACACGGTATAGGCTGGCAGCTTACGTATTTTAAGACATTTCATAATTGTTACAACCACAGTAACTCTTTCAGTTTAGTAACAAGAGGCTTGGCAGAAGATCCTTTTTTTTTTTTCCTTTAAATTGCGAAGACAGTTTTTTCAGTATCAGCTATAACTGATAGAAGGTGTAAACGTGTGTGCCTTATAAAAGGTATTTTGGTTATGGGAAAAAACATGCAATGTAATTATGCTTTTATAACAGAAATATTCCAGATTTTATTCTAAATACTTAAAAGCAGCTAAGGAAAAAGTGCAGGTGAAACCTTCACTGAAATCATACTGTCATTTATTGCCTTTCTGTTTGCATGAGAGAGATTTCCTGGGCCACCAATATCCTACAGACACTGAGCTCTAACAGTGTCTTGTCAAGTTGTCACTTGAATTTTTTCCTGATTCCGTCTTCTAAATCCTGGCTTTTTTGTTCTCTCAAACCTGAGTAGGCATTCCTCTTTCCTAGGTGGGGCAGGGTGGGACGGGACCATCTTACATCATCTCACACTCTATTACCTTCTTGATGCAATAAAGCAGGACTTGCACATTCAGCAGCTGATCTGTAAAAATTTGGTTTGGTTACATGACCATGTAAGTATTGTGAGAGTGTTAACTGTTAATAATTTAAGGACTATGAGCCAATACAAGTCTTGGACAAAACTATTTTGTACAGTCAATTGTCCATGACAGTATGGGTATAGAAGGGAAATTAAACGTTAGATCCCTTAGGATCCCTTAGGATTCCAGGAGATAATTTGGATAAAATTCTTCTTCCTGGTCTGTCAGTAATCCTTAAAAACCAAAGTCTGGGGGAGGTGTGTTTTCTTTATTGCAAACTGAGCCCTCGTGATACTTTGTTATTCTGTAGGATTTAAATTTGGCTCAGTTTTGCACAACTTGGATGTTAAATAGGAACAAATACAGGCCAAAATGAAGAACTGTCGATCCCAGTGATGTCTATTGTAGGAAATGCTAAAACAAAGAGTAAAAATGAAGGGCGTGCCTTCTGACCCCTCTTCTGCCTCCCCCCCACCCCAATTTCTGGCAAGCTGCTGGCTGGTCCTGTGCTGCTTCTAAAATGATGTTATGCTTGATTCAAAGTGTTACTGTGTTGGGTTTTTCCCTCTGTTCTGGAAATACATTGGTCAAAATATTTTCTGCATAGTGGACTTCTTTGAATTTGATTGAACAATGTTTGACTCTCAGATGAACACTTCTGTACAAATCATGCATGTTTTTATTAAAAAAAAAACAACAAAACACTAACAAACATGCTGACCTCCATTGCAAGGGGTTTGCAAATTCAGAATTAGTCCTTTAGGTTTTCTGTTTATGTTCTTGGTGCAGGGACAGTCCACTTAGAGTGATGGTACGGCTGTATTTTTCTTGAAATGTATTAAGTAAAATAATTGAATTTGGTGTGAAATAGCTATTTGAAAAAATTTACAGATTTATTTTGTGGAAGTAAGATGTTGCAAGTGAAACTTAGCTTATTCTGTTAAACCTTGAGTAAAATGGTTTACTGATGTCAGTTCGTTTCCCACTGAAAGGGAAGAGGTGTAAATGTGTATGCATGTATGTGTGATTGGATTGTGCAGGCGGTTAAAAAGCCTGGCTAGCTTTAAGTTTTATGAATGTTAACCAAATTATTTAGTTTGCTCTTTGGCATTATAGTTAAACCTGAGACACTTGAGGACTGCACAAGAAACTAAATTAATGATGACAAAAGAGGAAGTCTTCTGCATGGCCAAGTGGCCTAAGTCAGAGGACAAAATTTGCGAAGTTGTCGTAACGCACAGTAGTCTTCCTGGGCTTTTTTGTTTTCCCCCAAAGTTTTAGGTCAGTCTTTCATTTTTATGTACGAAAAATAAATGTGTTCAAAATTGCATCTCTGTCTGAGTCTTTATTTAAATTGGAAGGATAAATACTTGGAAGAATTTTTTTAATGTGTCGTAGCTGGTCAAAGAAAGCTGCTTTATGAGTCAGTGTAGTGCTTGCAGAACTTAGAGGCATTTTACTTGTAGTAGCTATTACTTGGTGCCATAAACACCAAGGTCTTTTTCTGTGTTCCTGGGAGTAGAGAGCCTTACTCCCCTGAGAACAGACTGTCCAGTGTTGGGATGTCTTCTGCACTACAAGAAATCTTTGCCTAGAAAGGCTTATTTCCATGCCGCTGTGCCAGGGTTGGCCTGCAGCGCCGTGAGAGGTGGTGGTAGTGTTTTGACATGCAGCCTTCTGTAGTCCCACTAAGGCCCAAGAAGACTTCTGCAGTGCTTGTGGTTAAATGCAGCAGTAAGTGGCTTGCTGGGCTGACACCTGTACGTGAAGCTCTCCAGCAAGTATGTGCCTTGTACTGTAATATGGAAATACCTTCTGAAAAAGCAGCGGCTTTCCAGGAGTGCTTGCTACAGGCAAACAGTAGTCAGTAGTTGCTACAGGGAGTGCATGAGAAGCTGTTTGGTGTTTATAGTGAGTTGCAAACCCGCTGTCTGTTCTTGCTTCTCTTTTTTTTTTTTTTCCCCGTACTGTGTACTGAATCGGTGACTTTCTTCTGCATTGTATGTCGCAGGCCGAGACTGACTGACACCTAAGCCTTCAAGACTTGTGAATATTCTGCAGCTATAAACTGCAAATTATTGACATGCAAAGCGAGACATGAACCCCTCTTCGGGAACAAAAAGTGAGGTCTGTTAAGTACCGAGAAGACCTCAGTTATCTGTTTACAGCGTAAACCGCATCGAGGGGATGAAGACCACCAGCAGCGTGCTACTTTGCAAAACAAAATAATTTGCCGTGTTGTGTTTTTATAATGCCTGTATTAATGTAGAAAGATGTAAAAGAAATAAATTAGGAAATATTTTGTTTTGTACTGCCATTCTTATTGTATTTTTATACTTTTTGGCAGCATTAAATATTTTTTTAAATTGACAATATGCTGTTGTGTGCACATTATGTTAGGGAGCAACTGTTAAGAGCCTGTTTTGCAGAAAAAGAAATGTTTCGCCTTAAGGTTTCCTGGTACCCTGTTTTAACTGGAAAATGGCAAAATGTGCTTTATGCAAATATTTTCATTAATGCCAAGTATTGTAGTTTGAGCTAGGAGGAACTCTTGCGCATTTCTTTTGTAATACACCACTAAGAATATTATTTTATTAATCTGACCAGTTGGTTTGGTAATCCTTCTGATGATGTTCGCTATAAAATATGCACAGAATGTTCAGAGTCACTTTGTGAAGGGAAAGTGTTTTGTTGGTGGTGCTTTGAAGGGGTGAAAAATGGGAAATCTGATGTCTCACTACCCATGGTCATAGATAATTAATGGGTGGTGAGGGCCAGGTGCAAAGTGCACAAAGTGAATGGTGTCTATAATTAAATGGGTTTTGGATTGTCATCACAGTGTGTTGTATGAATAATATTTTACTTCATGTCTCCTGTCAGCGCTCTCCCTGACATGGTCTGAACAGCTGGACTGGAAAGGGGTAAATGGGAGTGCTGCTTACAGGAGTTGTGGACTCAACAGGGTTTCCAGCCCTTCTGTACCTTCTGTAACAGAGCTGGTCTAAATTCTGCAGTCGCTGACGTTCTCTGACAGTTTCAGATAAACCCTAATTCACAAAAAAAAAAATTTCAATATGACTCTCTAGACTAGTACGTGGTGGGGTTTTGTATGTAATTTGTACTTTGCATATTTTTCAATGGTTTTTTGTACAAATCATACAGTTGCTGCAAGTAAAGCATGGAAGGGAGGGGGAATCTTGGCCAAGTAAGGCCGTTTTTGCTAAAATAAGCAGTAACCTGAAATCTTAACTTGGTTTCGAAGCTCATTCATGAAAGCAAGTATGTTCAGAGTTGCGCTTAACTTGAGCAAGAAGCTGAATCAGGGGAGTACTTAATGCCATTACTTGAGCTAAATACATGCTTGACACCACCTTGGAATAGTCTAAATCGCCAGAGCCTGGTCTGTCTAAATATTTTAATTTCTTTAAATGATCGGTATTGTTCCTAGCCTATGTTGAGGGAGCAAACATCACAGGGTGATTCAGCTTTCATTTTCAAGTTGGTGCAGCTGTGAGACCAGGAGCGTTGATGTCGGGAGATCAAGGTCTGGCCAAAACCACTGCATAAACCCGATTGTGTTGCATACAGGGACGGAGCCTGTTTACACCACTTGGTACGTCTTTGGGTACGGCTTTCATCTGTTCATGCCTTTTACCTGCAGCTATCATTTATGTTTTCATTATTTTTGTCCTCTTTGAATTGCGAGTAAGCGTAAGGTGTATGACTACTGGAAACGTGCACATGCTTCATTATTTTACCTGCTGCTGTCACAGATAACTATCAAATACGCAACTAATTTATCTTGTGGGGTGCGGAGGGCTGAACGTACTTCGGCTCTCATCACGCAGTGGACCCTTCTAATCAAAATGCTGATTTCCTTGCTCTTGAAGTTTTTTAAATTATTTCCCTCTACGAAGTTGCTGGACTAAATTTGATGTCAGGCTAACTTGATGAACAGGCAAAAGGGATAAAGAGGGAGTAGCTCCAAAACCAGCTTTGTCAGGTTTTGTTGAGCGCAGCCTTGTGACAGCAGAAGTCTTGGCTCATTGGCCCAGGAACTTTGGACACGTGCACGTGTCTTGTCACTTCTACGCGAGGCCACAATTCTTGACTACTGCTGGGAAAATGCATTTAAACAGGTGAAGGAAGGGGGGAGGCTGCCTTCTGAGAGAAAGGACAATTGAGTGTCTAATGGCAGCCTTAAAAGAAATGGGGTTAGAAGAATGCTAGTCTTCGAGATTTTCAAATGAAAAAGCTGTGATTTACTGCCTGCTATTTTCGTTCCGTCTTCAAAAGAAATGTTGCAGAGGTACTTGCTGTTACTTTTGCTAGCCATCTTGCCAC